CTGTAACCGGTTACCGTAAGCCTCAGAATAGCACACAATTGGACAATCCCCTTCGAACACTTCGGGAGCAGAAAACTCGCATTCCCATTTTTTCATATTAATTGTAGCATTGACCATCGTTGGGTAGGAGAAATACCTGGGGATATATTTCATTTAAGTAGCGCAATCATCGTGTTGGAGCTTCCTGGCCATTCATATAAGAAAATTACCAACTTTACTGATGTGGACGTAGTAACAAAATTGCTAACCTCGTTGGGTAGACTCGCGCCAGACTAGAGAAAGCCAGCAAAAGCATCCATCTAGAAACTATAACAATTTTGACAATATCTCTCAAGGCGAAGTTATGAGCATCCAAAATTTCTGAATCACGTTTCAGAACAGCCTAATATTGAGACACCTCAGGACGGTTGCTTTATTAACTTAACAGTAGTTTTGAGTATGTTTCTTTGAATTCTGTGAAATATTATCATATATGTCCAGGCTTTTTGCCTAAGATCACAGAACTTGCTTTACCCTTCTTTGTATAGAAAAATTCATTTGATGCATTAGAATATGCTATCAAATTGAAAGTAAGGAAGAAAATGCAAACTAATAAAATTAAAAAAGAATATTAGCATTAACACAGAATTCGTATTCCATGTTCTACTATGTTTAATTGTTGAAGATATGTCTCTTTTTGCTTCCAAAAAAGAAAACGGCGACTGTTTTGGTGGAGCAACAGAGACCTTATTGGAAGTAATCTACCCTTTCCCAATTTAACGTAGTACAAACACACTAAAAGACTAACTAGAGAGAAGTTGACCATCATCTCCAAAGAAACAGTTTAGCTGTTGGGAATTTGGAAGCTGAATTGTGCCTGAATCTCAATCCTAATTATTTCGTAATTTACAGCCTCATAGAATTAGATAAAATTTGAAAAGTGAGTGAATGGGCATTGCACCTAATTTGCTTCAATAAAAATGTAACAACAGAGATATTCGTACCACCTGCCATGCTGTTGAAAAATGTAATTGTCGTGTGAGTCTTGTCAATGGGATAGGTACTTTGCAGAACCTTCAAAGATATTAACAGAAGGAAGGTTTGAATCGCTCGTTATTAACACACTGAAAGCGGTTGCTTTGGCTTTAAAGTATAGAATGGACATAGAAAAGATTGTGGTAACATAAGGTGCCATGGAATTCAAGGCCAAAATACAGCGATTATTCAAATAGTAACCTTATCTAGAGTCACATCAATATTGCAATGGCAGGTGGTTTAGTTTTGATAATCTCAAGTGTTGGCTTCATTACAAACGGTGCCTTAAACTTCCTTATTTAGAAGGGGGAGGTTCAAGTTTTGAAATTACTAATGGTTGGTAAACAATTAGGAAACCATTCTTACAGCAATACGGTATCGTTCCGCTCGCTTAAATTTGCTGGATTATGAAAAAACTTCATTTTCAAAAAAAAAACATTTTTTCTAGGTACTTCATTTGGAGCATTCCTGTGTTATTGTTTTTTTTA